ATTGAGGATTCTCACCAGTTCACCTTTGGATTTATTCTAAAAGGATTCTGCCAAGACAAAGACAGGACTCCATCCATGGACGTTCAAGTTATCTGCTGCCAAAGATTGTCTCTGCATCTGGGTTCGAGTGAAAACTGCCTCCCCAAAGTTTCTATTTAGATCAGGACACAGTGTAGGGTTTAGAATTAGGTGAAATGTCTAAATTTTCTTAAATCTATTGATTACTTAATCCTTTGTTAAATGCTGTATGTCTTTTCTCCCCTGCTAAAGCCTGCTAATAAAAATACTGAATTCTAATTGATGCTGTGGACAGTTAAATTAATTGAGTCAACTAAAAATTAATTCTAATTAATGTGAAATCATTGTTAATGGTCCTAGTAAATTAGGGTGGCTTCGTACGTTCTTTAGTTCAGATAAATAATGACCCTGGGACTTATTCCTAGTCGCTAAAATTATCTAAGCGGTAAGAAGTGCATGTTAATAATAGAGGAAGAGCTGCCGTGAACAGATGTGGTTTATGAGCTCGGACACCGGCGGGGCTACTCCGGTGTCTGAATCATGGACTGAAGCGGGTCATAACGTCTGGATGAAGGTAGTTAGAGCTTAGACAAATCTTTCTCGCTCCTTGCTTAAACAAAAGTTCTCTACATTCTTATTTGCGGTAATACTCAGGAATAAGAGGCTTTTCGGACCCGTGAGATGGAGAGCTGGTCAGTAGTCAGTCCGCTGGAGGTTAGGAGGAGTTAGGGATGTGGCTGAATACTGTGGATTAACAGTGTGTAAAATGTTTTGTGCGTGCGTAACAGGATTTGTGCGTGTGTAAAAAGATTTGTGTGTTTGTAAAAAGATTTGTGTGTGTGTGTAAAAATATCTGTGCGTGTGTAATACTGGATTTGTAAACCTTAAAAATAAAATAAACTTTCTCCTACGCCTATACATGTTGAAAAAGTACACACAAATCACCTGGTACGCACACACAAAACTGCATTTACACACAGATCCGGTTACGAGTGCACAACTATTTTTGAGACTCATTTCACGTTTCGGTGAAGGACCCAGATTTGTGTGTAGATGGTGCGTTTACATGCTAGTAAAAGCTGGGACATCTGAGTTTTGCTCTGAGTCTAGTGTTTTTATCCTCTGACGTTTCTCACTGTGCTTGTGCCGAAGTGGCAAATAGTGGAAGTGGAAAACGGAATATATCAGCACTTCCTTTTAATATCCTAAAATTATTTATAGACATATTGTGCATTTTTGAGCGGTACAGGAGACTAAGTGGTCTGAAAAAGGACCACTGGGTGGCGGAATGGTTCGCTGGCCGGAAAAATAGCCAGGCAAACCCAGAAGCAAGACGGAGCGTCCCGGTGGTCTGTCCTCTGAAGTAAGTAGGAGCTAAACCTGCAGGCTTTGCCCTCCGATTATAATGAGACATGGAGTAATTATAAATGATTTCAGGTTACGTTTTATATGTCTGGTATTTTGATACTCTGCCCTCCTCATATGTTTCTGTTAGCGGGAGCTAATGTTTATGTCAGCTATGCTACTTTAGCTGTTGGGAGCTAAGTCCGTGTATTTTTATTGTCTCATTCTGCACAGTTTGAATCTTTAATCCATAAAAAATGATCTCTGTGTGGTTATTACAGTATCTGTTTTGCCCAAAAGGTTCCAATCACATTTCTAAGTCAAGTTGCTGACTGATATTTGTATCTATAGTTTGTGAGATATTCTGATTTGCCTTTTACTTTATTCACTAAGTAAATATAATTAAGTGAAATAAATTGCCTTTCCATTCTAGTTTGTTGACTTTCTGTGTATAAATAACATTTTATATTTATCTCTACACAGGATGAAACGGCTGACTGATGGATTGGGTTCTGGTGTTATTTCACTTTCTGGATGATCAGGATCTTTCAGATCTCATCTACCTTCTGGTCCGATGGAGCTGCTGCAGGAACACACTGATCCTCTAACAGGATGCTCAGATCCAGGCATCAATGTCTGGTGTCCTGCAACATTTAGATATGTCCTGGTCCAACACATCTGAATTAAATGGCTGCTTAGGACAGTCAAGTCCTCCAGAGTCGTGCTAATGACCTCTGACCTCATGATTTGACTCAGGTGTGTTAAAGAAGAGACATCTAAAGGTTGGAGGACACCGACCCTTACGAACTGGAGTTAAAGCCCATCTGTACAATTTTCATTCAATCGTAATCACAATTACCTGCATACAGTGGAAATTTTACCTGAGTTGAGGTAGATGAGGAGTTTACATAGTGTCTTTACTTTAAAACAATTTTGGTTTCCATTTGTTGAAAGTAAATTACAAACATTTAGCCATAGTTTGACCACTGCTTTATGACAGAAAAAAGTTTGATGTCACAAATATATGATTTTAATAGAGGCATCATTCGATTTATACAGTAGAAAGAAGATGACAAGTGTTTCCTGAATTAACTTTAATGTTCACCTCACTGCACACAAAGGACAGATTAAATATTTAAGATTGCAACAAATCTGATGAATCTGTAACAAAATAGGTTCAGATTAACATGGGTGGATTCACAGCGACCTAAAGTTAACAATGAAATGTCTTCAAACTTACATGGATGTTCAAATATTGACTATAATCAATTAACAAAACACCATAAAGCTGTGTATTCAAATACGACCAAGGTCAGTCTGTACAGATTAAGGAGACACCATAACATCTACCAACAGAGCAGGTTAACTACTGTAGTTTGAAAGGCGTCTTGGTTCAGTTGACGGCTCAGTTTGAAGCTTCAGGTTTTGGTGTTGAACCTCCTAGAATCTCAGCTGCTGCAGATTGTCTGAAGATGCAGAGAAAAGTACAAATAGACAGTCTACAGTTATGCTGATTTTCCTGAACAGCTGATGCACCGACAGACCTGACTGTGTCAGAACATTACTGAACCTAAAAATTACTTGAATAATCACAATGCATGTAGAAATTTTTCTTTTTATGTTGATCAAATGTTTCACATTAAATGTTTTGCTGTGAAGGCTATTTTTGCAGTGGTGCTTTAAATAAATGCATAAAATATTTATTTTCTTATGTATGTGTAACCACTACTTAGTTTAACTAGCAATAAACTCAGCAGTAAAGTTACTTTTGTTCTAGGGTCACACAGGAGGATGATAAGTTATGGGTTTGAATAACGCTTCTCGCACTTTGAAAGACCCCTACTGGCAAAAGCAATAACCCTCAGCTGGCCATCTTGCTCTTGATACAGAGCTCCGCCCAATCCAAGCAAACTTGCATCAGTATGAAGAATGTAAGGCTTTGTTACATCTGCACATCCTAAAACTGGTGCAGTGGTGAGTTTCTGGATCAGAGTATTAAAAGCGTGATCACATTCTGATGTCCATTTTTCAGCAAATGCTCTTTTTAGGGCAAATGCTGAGGTATGTCTGAAGTGCTGTTTAGCAGCCTTCCTGGGTGGAAAATACCCAATGGTAAGGTCATTTAGGGGTCTTGCAATTCTGGCAAAGTCTCGGATAAATCTCCTATAATACCCTGCAAACCCTAAAAAAGATTTCAGTTCTTTAATGTTTTTAGGTGTTGGCCAAGTTGTCAATGCTGCGGTTTTCTCAGGATCTGTCTCAACACCTCTTTCAGAAACTACATGTCCTAGGTAAGTACCTAGGACTGATGTTCTGAAGAACTGACACTTCTCAGGGGAAAGCTTAAGTCCATACTCTCTAAGCTTTCCCAGGACACGCATAAGGTGTTCTTCATGCTCCTCTAATGTGCTAGAAAAAACAATCAGATCATCCAGAAATACTAAAACTTCTTTAAGGTTCAGGCTGCCCATACACTCTTCTCCATTACATGCTGAAATGTGCTGGGAGCGTTTAATCGGAGCCCTGTGGCATCCGATTAAACTCCCAGAACCCCATAGGAGTTACAAACGCCGTCTTATACTTGTCCTCCTCCTCAACCTCAACCTGATAGTATCCTGATTTTAAATCCATGACTGAGAACCACTTTGACCCTGTCAATGCCGAAAAAGCCTCCTCAATATTTGGTAATGCATAGGCATCTTTGATTGTTTGATTGTTTAACTTACGATAGTCAACACAGAGCCGGATTGCACCATTTTTCTTTTTTACAACCACGATAGGGGATGAAAATGGACTTTCGGACTCACGGATTACGTTGGCATCATACAGTTCTTTAAAGTGTAACCTGACAGCCTCGTAATCTGACGGGTGTATTGGCCGCGGTCTTTGTTTAAAAGGAGTAGGATGGATGAGAGGCGTATCCTATGTTTTACCGCGGTTGTGTTGCCATAGTCTAAATCATGACTAGCAAACACATCTGACATCGAACTTAACTTTTCCGTTACTCTCTCTCTCCATTCTTCAGAAAGAGATGTATCTGTGAGGTCAAATCTGAGCTGGCTAGGTTTAACTGGTGAGTTAATGTTTTGACATAAAACAGTCTTTTGTGTAAGCTCGGACTGAGATCTTGACTCTTTTTTTCTCAGTTGACTGAGGAGCTGAAACTGTGAGACGCTTATAGAGTTCAGCAACAGTTAGAGCAGCAGGTACTATGATGTCATGTGCCCTTTCATTCTTCACTAAAATAGGGATTTTGAAAGATGTTGTCGGTGGGGCTGTCATAACATAGTTGCAGAACACTAATCCACCAGGTAAAATGGAGTCTGCCTGTTCAACCAATAGGGAGGTGCCTGGAGAAACTTTAATCCATCCATCCATCCATTTTCTGAACACCCTTGTCCCTCAGTGGGGTTGGGAGGGGTGCTGGTGCCTATCTCCAGCTAACGTTCCGGGCGAGAGGCGGGGTACATCCTGGACAGGTCGCCAGTCTGTCGCAGGAGAAACTTTAATGTTTCTGGCATAACCCATTAAAACAGCCTTTTCTCCAGCGGGTACTTTCTGACTAGTTTTTCTTAGCAACTTTATCTTTCCTACTCTACCACTTGCTCGATCTTCTTTGTACATGCCATACAGTTTCCTGATTAGTGGCACATTTTTACAGTGCGCTTGCTGGTTGTGAACACTGGTCTTTTTAGAAGCTGTATAAACGTCGTAAAGAACATCTAACACATTTGTTCCAACCAGCACCGGAACTTCTCTGTTTGATCTACAATCTGGCACAATTAAGGCTAAAGTATGGACTTCTTCAGGTCTCCCCATAATCTCTTCTGGAAAGAAAAGATTTACCTCAATGTACCCCAGATAAGGAACTCTCTGACCACCTGCACCCTGAATATCTAAAAGGTCACCTAGTGGCTGGATTGGTCGTGAATGTAAGTGGAGCTTGTGAAATGTTTCTGAGACAGTTGTCACTTGAGAGCCTGAGTCAAGAAGGCAGATGCTTTGAACTCCATCAATAAACATCTTGGCGGTGTTTTTCGATCCTACCAAAGCATCTAAAAGTGCTTCATCTGATGTACATGTAGGGGACTGACTCATATTGTTGATGGTTGTCGATTTTTGATCGTGTTTTAAGTCTTGCATTGATTGTGGAGCCTGCACTAGTCTGGCATCAGTACTCTACTGAAACCCGGTCCAGTTTAAAGCCGTTCCATATCTTGCTTCCCACTGCTGGCGTTTTTCCTTTAGTTCCTTGTGCTTTTTATCGACCAATTCTTTGTTTGGAGCATTCTCACACTGTCTTGCAATATGGTCAGTTTCTCCACATTTAAAGCAGAACCAAGCTTTTGGAGGAGGTTGGCGTGCTGGCTGTTGCACATGCACTTCCGCAGCTCCTATAGGTGCCAGGTCGACAAATCCAGTTGTTTCCTGTTTTCTTCTCACCCTCCTTTGAGATCTTTTTTCTGTAAGCTGCATCTGCAGCTCAGCGACTTGCTTTCTTAAGCTTTATGTCTCTGTGATGTACTTCTGTACAATGTCATGGTCGTGTTTTAGTGAAGGTCCTGGGACAGTCTGAAAATGTAAAGAAGGTTTTACCTTTGAGCTTCCAAAGTGATGTTGCATTCGGTCAGTCTTTACTGATCACGCTCTTCTTCTGTTCTTAACTGGAGAAGAAGTTCAGAGAAATCTGGTAGGGACTCACTTTTGAATCTCTGCTGAAGAGTTAGAAGCAGAGTCTGATCCCAACACCCACGAATGAACTGCTTGTACAGCTGTTTGTTTGCATTAACTTCACTCACACCACCTCGCTTGATCGCAGTACTAAGTACTGCCTGCAGTCTTTGCAGATATTCGGAAGCTCTCTCTCCTGGATCTTGGTGAGTGCTCAAAAATTTAGCAAATATCTCTTCACCATCATCTACGAGTCCGTATGCTGACTGAAGGAGACGGACATATTCTTGTGGATATGAATGAGAACCAAGCTGTTTCACAATATCCAGTGCAGGGGACAGTAAGCTTTCTAGAATCATCCTTCTTTGCATGTCAATAGAGAATCCATCTTGAAACATCAGTTCAACATGAAGGAACCAAGTCTCAAAATCTACTTCTCCAGGGGGTTTAGGTACTCGTCCAGAAAAGGAACGAAGTCTCTTTGGAGTCAGACTTGATGAAGAAGCTTCATTTTTGATTACATGCTCCACGATTATGCGCTGAACATCTTGGGAATTCAACATATCATCACTCAATGGAGGTGTGTTAATTGACAAAGTTTGTCTCTTACTTTTTGCACTTTGTTCAGGTTGTTTGGAGTGTGAGGGATTAATGGCACGAGTTGCATGAGTTTGTCTTTGATGTTCTTTTGATGTGAGGGCAGTGTCAGCGTTATCTGATTCAGTCTCTCCACTATCAGAACTGCTAGACTCACAAACATCTTGTTCTGAGGCCGTTTCCTGAGCGTTCATTACTGCTGAAGGCTGAGAAAACACAGGTGAAAGTAGAGCTCTCTCTATATCATCAACATACCACCTTGCAGTTGGATATTTGGCTGTAGCTATTTCACATGGGAAATTTGGCTTAAGCTGCTCAACTGCTTCTTCAGCATCCAACTCAATGATGGTTTCACTTGACCTTAGCCTGACTATCTTCACCACTGTGCCATAAGTTTTAAGTGCTTCAGTTATGTTTGCATCTGTAGCATCTTCATTTAGGTCAAGAGCTAAGATTGATCTCTTTGTATTCACCCCGTACTTTTGCTCAATGTCATCAACACTAATCTTATTGACTTCCATGCTTTCTGATATCAGTTTTCTTAAAACTTGCTAATGTTGAGCTTACTTAACTTATAATACTCCTGGCTGCTGGCTCCCCACAATATGTTACCATGTAACCACTACTTAGTTTATCTAGCAATAAACTCAGCAGTAAAGTTACTTTTGTTCTAGGGTCACACAGGAGGATGATAAGCAAATAAATTCAACAACTCCAGTTTATTTTTTCTTTCCCCACAAAAGAATAACAATTCAGGTGACACTAATTACCTTCATGAAGATTAATAAAAAAAACTTAAATTGTCCACCCTTAGGAAAAAAAATAAAATATTCAGAAAAAATAAGGGTAGGTTTCCTAAGCTATGGCTTAGGAAAGCTCATGTCAACAACCGCATCTTTTCCAAGAAAAAAAAAATTACATATTCCAGTTAGTCCTTCAGTATACAGTTTCAGTCAGTCAGTTCAGTCAATGTGCACATAGATTGTCAGATTGGGGCCCCCCTTTTTGTTCAATAAGCTTATCTGTTGTCCAAGCAAAATATCCAGCTCCAGCCGCATAGTCCCTCCTCTTTCCAGGCTTCAGTCCGAGTCACAAAGATGGCGGCGGGACCCTCCTGCTTCTGGAACTCCACTGGCTTGTTCAGATATCGGCTGTTCAAAAAAACCAACCTGCATGCAGAGCGTTAACAGATCATGCAGGTATACAGAAATCAGCGAGATTTTTTTAAATTACTTCTCATTGAAAAAAAAAACAAATTAGTGGTTCAAATAAACCTAAAAAAAAACCCCGCTAAGTAATAAAGAACTTACTCAATAACATTACTTCACCATAAAACGGTCTCATTTCACAGAACTATGCTACTTACAGAGTGACATAATATACTCCGGTTGGTTTTTTTCTTGTTCGGAAAAACTGAGCAACATTAGCTCCAGCTAGGTAGCCATTCTGCATAAATAAGCAGCTGAAAATAAAACGACAGACTCACCGGAGAAATCCCGGAACAGAATGTACATCATCCAGTTCAAAATGAACAGATTTTTTTCGTATAACAGCAGCCTTGTGAATAGTGACTTCTCTACTTCTGCTGAAACGTGCTTAGTCTACATAGTCTGCCATTTCTCTTCCTTCTCCCTTATGCCTTACTCTTCTTCTTTACCGACACAGGAGAAATTTGGGTCTAGTGCCCTCTACAGGACATTCTAAGAATGAATAAGACAACACATTAAACATAGAGACAGATCTGCATAGTTTATGAGGGTTACATATGTCTTTATTAGCTCTCAATTGTGTCATAATATCAATCGAGAAAGAAATTTACTGCTTGTGAAAATCTAAACCATCTGAATACATTTTACCATCTACATAAAATCAACTTGAAATGAAGACGAACAGGAACAGCAGGTTTGTCCTGGTTGCAGACGAGGTATATATTTGTTTAAGGGCCGATGAAATGGGGTTCAGACACAAACACAGTTTAATCTGAAGATTCTGGAGGATGTGTGAATAGGTCTGTTACCATGAAAAACAATTACTGTATGATAAGTTGTTCCACAGTTCTCAACAAACGATAATATAGTTCTTTTGAGACCATTTTTTAAAATTATATAATGGTAATGACGAAATAATAATGCAAGAACACATTCTCAAAGGTCATTAAACTTTAAATTCTAATGAACATTTAACACTGGAACTGGAAGACATTTTTAGTATCCAGAATAAATAAAACTAATGAATTTTGAAGTCTTTTTAAACAAAATTGCTTTTCAAAATAAGGGCTAGTCGAGACCAAAGTACCAAACTGAAGACTTTTATTATCCAGTTTTTGGTATAAAGAGAGAAAAAAAGAGAAACAATAAATTATGCCAATGAAAATGATTGAGTTTGTTTTAATTTATCATCTGATTAATTGATTTATTGATTATTCCGACAGGCCTAATCAATAATTAGACTTAAGTATTAGTCTAATACTTAAGGATTAGACTAAATCCTTAAGTATGTTGAAAAGTCAACATAAATGAAGAATCTTTCAGTTTGTTATGGTGAATAAAGTCTAGCTGCAGATGATGTTCCTGCAGGTCCAGATCTACCTTCATTACTGCTGAAGCAACAAAATACAGTTTCAGTGATAGTGACCAACATCTACAACTGCCATAATCTCCTGAAGATGCTTGTCGACTTCGGCATCATAAAACTTAATCAACCTGTGTTAAAGTTAAGACTGAAGACGGACTATCAAACTGTGTGACAGTAAAAATCCATGCTTAGCTCCCAACAGCTAAAGTAGCATAACTGACATAAACATTAGCTCCCACTAACAGAAACATGAGGAGGGCAGAGTATCAAATACCAGAAATATAAAACGTAACCTGAAATCAGTTATAATTACTCCATGTCTCATAATCAGAGGGCAAAGCCTGCAGGTTTAGCTCCTACTTACTTCAGAGGACAGACCAGCGGGACGCTCCGTCTTGCTTCTGGGATTGCCTGGCTATTTTTCCAGCCAGCGAACCATTCCGCCACCCAGTGGCCCTTTTTCAGACCACTTAGTCTCCTGTACCGCTCAACAATGCTCAATATGTCTGTAAATAATTTTAGGATATTATAAGGAAGTGCTGAGATATTCCGTTTTCCACGAACTAAAGTATTTGGCCCTTCGGCACAAGCACAATGAGAAACGTCAGAGGATAAAAACACGAGACTCAGAGCAAAACTTAGATATCCCAGCTTTTAATAGTATGTAAAAGCACCATCTACACACAAATCTGGGAGCTCCCGGAACCGGATCTGTGTGTAAATGCAGTTTTGTGTGTGCGTACCAGGTGATTTGTGTGTACTTTTTCAACATGTAGGAGGAGAAGGTTTATTTTATTTTTAAGGTTTACAAATCCAGTATTACACACGCACAGATATTTTTACACACACAAATCTTTTTACAAATGCACAAATCTTTTTACACACGCACAAATCCTGTTACGCACGCACAAAATATTTTACACACACACAAATCTTTTTACACACGCATAAATCATTTTACACACACACAAATCTTTTTACACACGCACAGATATTTTGAGACTATTTTCACTCCATATACTCCAGACCAGATGGTGGCGGTATTGCACACTTTCATTTATTTAAAAAATGCCACAAAGAGAAGAAAAAACTTGAACGCAGGGAAGATAACAGACGCTGTTCAAATTCGCCAGTTTTACTTGCGTAATATTGCCTTAAAAGTAGAGAGGGTCTTGACAATAGTTACTAATTTTGGTAAATTCAAGCTGGTGACGTCCTAGTTAGACGACAACACAACGTGGCAACAACCGATGGAAATGAAATGTGTGTCACAAAAGGAGCCCGGAGGGACGAAGGCTGCTAAGTGTTGCTAGCTGGTGGTAAGTTTGCTTATTAATTATCTTCATTTAATTATAAACAGTGCAGTAAAGATATATAACTTACGTTGGTTTCATAAATAATTATTTTATAAATTTTATTGTGACTTGTATGATTATTACAATCATTCAGCTTCATGTTATAACTGCATGCAGGCTGTTTGTTGCGACTTATACTTTAATTCATAAACTAACATGGTTTTAATTAAGCTCCATAAGACAGAGAGACTTTGATATTATGTTTTGAGGTGGTTGTTGTTATAACTTGTTCATCAATGATTTTATCTTCAACATATGTTTGCTGTCTAACTAAGCAAATAAAGATGAAAGAGGAAGCCAGAGAAATCGGGTGCTAGAAAACCTAAAGACTTTCTGTCTCAGAAGAGGCTCTGGTTCCACCAGATCACCAACCAGCTCTGAGGATGAACCTCCACATCGTCTTCATGATGTAAGTTTGTTTTTCCAATGAGGAGCTAGCTACATTTTCAACAACAAAAACGGGTGTGTTACCAACACCAAATGCTTAATAAACATGATTTGATTTAAAGATAACTGGACAGAATTTGTCCCCTTGTTAATCTAATGTTTCTCTTTCATACATTTTATTTGTTGTTGGCTTTCAGGGCCCTGTGATGGACTGGTGACCTGTCTAGGGTGAACCTCTGCCTCTCATCTGATGACTGCTGGAGATGGGCACCACCTGCCCCCGTCACCACCCTGCAAGGATCACCATGTTCAGATCATGGATGGAAAGTTTTTAAGATAGTTTATCTCCTTAAGTCCACACTTAAAACAGCTTCATAGTTATTGCCAACATCAACTGATTCTATCTGACTATTTTTTTTCTACTTCTAACATAAACAGGCAAAGAAGACACCCAGAAATGTTTTTTTCACCCCAGGCATCTGGTCTCAATCATCATCAGTTCTGATGTCACACACATGGTGAGTCCACAACGTCTTGAAATTGTAAGTATTATTTTTTTATTTGCCATTTTTCTGTTCTCTTTAAATACAAATGCTTTCTCTGTTTAATTGCTCTATTGTTCTTTTTTGTAGGTTTCTGTAAGGTGCAGTGGTGAAGTGAATGGGAATGTTCTGTCGTTGATCCTCACTCCTGTTAGGAACATACCAACAGTGTCATGAAGTGTCATTCAGTAAATAATGACAAATTTAATGAGAATTTGCTTTAAAAGTTGGATGAAAGGTTTTATGTTATGTTTATGACAGTGTCATCTCAGTCTTATGCACACCCCATCAAATAAAGTGTTACCAAAATGGTAATATATTGAAAGCACAATGTAATTATAATTTTTGTTCTTTAAAGTAATAACTTTTGTGTTTAATGTCAAATTTTCATGTTCATTGTGTTCACTTTTGATGTGTAAACTGATAATTTATGTAAAGTTCATAAAGTTGTGAGTAAAAATTGGACAATTTTAAAATGTCGGTAATAAAACAAAATATTTGAATTACCTTGAACATCTTGTGTAATTAATCTTTCCATGTAATTGTAGCCTAAAACAATGTAAGTACTGCAGTGTAGTTATGCATGTAATGTACAAAATAGGAAAGTAGGAATTTCATGAGTAATTAAAATTGTACTTTATTAGCAATAGCAGTAAATCAAATCTCAAAATTAAGTGTAATTTAAATACATTACTAATATATTAGCAGTATATTTAAAGTATATTAAAAGTATATTTTTAATATAATTCTATGACAGAATTAGTACACTCAATATAAAAATGAAGTATACTTTAAGTATACTAAGTACAACTTGAAGTTGTTCCAAAAAAGTATGGTGAAGTATACTAAGTATACTAAAAGTTGTAATTTTATACAACTTAAGTACTACTAAAGTATACTAAGTACAAAATTGTTCCAAAATAGTACAGTTTAAGTACATCAATCAAAGTATGCTAAAGTATGTTAAAATTTAGTATACTAAAGCATACATTTTTTTTACTTGGGTACAGTAACAAAAAAAAACTAAATATTTGAATCAGGGCTTGGATTAGGCTAGATTTATGTCAACAATAAGATTAGATTTTATGTAAATTATATTAAACTTTGTTGAGACGAGACAATGGGACAAATGATGTCCTGTCAGGTGACAAGCGCTGTATCCGTGTGTGTGCGACCGTGCATGTGTGTGTATACCGCTCCCATGTTGACCCAGTGAGCGCAGCCTTTTAACTGTGCCGGTGTCCAGGTGAACAACTGAACCAAACCGTGCATTTGGAGACTCATGAGCAAGAACAGCCGTAAAAACGCACGTACACACTCTTTATTACTGTCTTAATAGAGTTTTCTCACCCCTGGCCAACCAGCTACTAACTGGAACCTTACTGGAGCCTGAAATAGCCGCAGAAACCAGTTGCGCCAGCCCCCTCTGTGCACATAAATGACAGAACACGAACCCTACTGAGAGCAACAGAAACATACAGTTTAAAGCTGTGAAGTTTACCTGAAGAAGTTTGTTTTCCCAGGAGAGCAGGAGAAGAGACAGCAGAATGAGTTCTAGAACCCCCATGATCCCTAAAATCCTCGACTTCATGGTGGTCCGACACAAACAAGAGGACTCAATTAAAGCTGCTAAACTAGCGACAGAGGTCAAACTCTATATTCATTTCCAGTGTCCGTCTGCCGCGTAGCGAACGTCCAACATCTGGTGGTGACAATTAAAGTGTCGCTTTACATCCATAAAAGCAGCACTTTCCCACATTTCCGTGTTGGGACGGACCTTGTAGAGTCAGTAGCAAACAGTCAGGAGGAAAGCAGAGGTAGGAGGAGCCGCTGTCCTGAAACTAACGATGGGTGGCTCGACCAATCAGAAACGGTGTTGAGAACATGATGGGCGGGGCTATGGAAAGAACTGGAACACGTGGAAACGGACAACAGGACAAGTGTAAACGCAACAAGAAAGCCTTTTTGTGCAATAGAAAGAGGTGGAGGGATTAATTGTTCTCTTTTCTGCACATCCAATATATCCACACACACACACACCAGTGACAGGAAGGGTCTTTGCATTATGAAGGGCTGTGTGGTCTTTTAATGAAACTTTTTTAAAATTTAATTTCAGAAGGTACAATTTTTCTTCTTCATCTACCCGTCATAAGTTTTTATTTTTATTTCATCACAGTGTTTTTTCCTATTCTCCCAATCACTTGTTTTTCATACCCTGAGGTTTAGGTAACACTCATGTTCTATAAAACCATAATGGTAAACAAGATCTGAATACAATGACAAAGCTCATACTACATTTTCCAGTTAAAATATGACAGACTGTTTTTTAATTTTAATTTCATTTCATTTTTAACTTTTTTGTTGAAGGGGTTATACACTCACCGGCCTCTTTATTAGATACACCTTGCTAGTACTGGGTTGGACTCCCTTTTGTCTTCAGAACTGCCTTAATACTTTGTGGCATAGGTACTGGAAATATTCCTCAGAGAGTCTGGTACATACTAACATGATAGCATCACTTAGTTACTGCGGATTTGTCGGCTGCACATTCATAATGTGAATCTCCAATTCCACGACAAAGGTGTTCTATTGAATTGAGATCTGGTGACTGTGGAAGCCATTCGAGTACAGTGAACTCATTGTTGTGTTCAAAATAACAGTCTGAGATGGTTCACGCTTTATGGCATAAAGTATGGTCAGCAACAATACTCAGGTAAGCTGCGGCTTTGTCATGATGCTCAATTGGTACTAATGGGCCCAAAATGTGCCAGGAAAATATATCCCCCACACCATTGCACCACCACCAGTCTGAACAAGGCAGGATGGATCCATGGTTTCATGTTGTTCACGCCAAATTCTGACCCTACTGTTATGGATTCTGTCTTTCCTCTATGTCTTTTATCTGCACACACACTTCCAGAAAGTGATATTTTATTTTATAGTTAAAAGAGGGTGCTTTGTTTGTTATTTTGGCTTTGGATACTCTGAAGCTACTGACATTAACTGCTTAGTGATTATAGTTTTTGTGTTACACCGAGTGCTTGAATTTATCCTTCGCTGTGTTGGGGAGGGGTTGTAACAACAGGTAAATTGAGAGCTCCACTTTTTAACTCGGCTTTCTCTTCACCATGACAGACTGGTACATCGTCCGCTTCACTGCTGGTGCTGTGCTAAGTTGCCTGTTGATCTTCTGCCCCAATTTTCCCATTTGTGAACAAGATTCCAACACACTTAAACTCCTCCATTTGGGGCAGGACATCCTCACCAAACCAGAGAAAGCACTTTGCCCTTTTCTGGCTCAAGATCATGGCCTCAGATTTGGAGGCACTGATCCGCTTTACACTCGGCTGCGAACCACTCCACATACTACAAAACATGACAGCAACCTCATTCAGTTAGTTCCACTACTAAATTTCTTTAACACAAAGAGCTCTGACATGTTTTATATTTTGAACTCTACATTATGGGTTTAAGAAAGTAAAACTTTCAGTTATCCATTGTGTTGACTATTTGAGAAATTTGTCAAATTTGTTTGAACTTGGATTTGTATGTCATCAAATTGAAAAAAGAAAGGAGAGGGGAAAAACACAAGAATATGGAATTTAAATCACAGGTAAAAAACATATTTGCAGTGACCTTTGAGTTGGGAATGATCATGTATATACCGTATTTAAGTCATATATTGAATTATGTCAAAAATATACACATTTTACAGCAAATTACAATGGACTACTACTTCCACTATCTTGTGGAAATTCTTCATGCAGCATGCAGCAGAACTTGACTAGTGACAGTCAGGTCTCTCTGTAGCCATAGATTAAATCTTTGTTGACGCATAATTGGATCAAAGTTTTTGCTAATTCTTGCTGTTTGCTCTTTAACTATAGTTACCCCAATATATTTAACTTCAGACTTCACAGGAATTCCTGACAAAGATAATTCATTACAACTATTGATTGGAAGAAGTTCACATTTAGATAAGTTAAGTTTAAGACCAGAGGCTACTGGAAATGTATTTAAAAGTCTAAGTGCAACATCAATTTGAAACTTATCTTGTAAGAACAGAGTTGTATCATCAGCTAGTTGACTCATAGTTTTTTCTGCAACTGAGATGTCGTTAAGATCGCTATTTTTAATAAAAGTAGCTAAGATTTGCAACATGCAAACTCCATGCAGAAAGACCCCAGGCTGGCATCAAACCCAGAACCTTCTTGCTGCAAAGCAGCAGCTCTACCAACTGCGCCACTGTGCAGCATCTTTTGGTAGTTCCATGAGGTAATTTTATTGAGCTTTTTCCATAAGTATAAAGAGTGCAAATTGATTTTTGAAAATTCTCTCCTAAACCAAATAAGCCGAGGGCTTTGAAGATGAACTCATGTTCTATCGAGTCAAATGCCTTTTGAAAATCTAAAAATAAAAAAAGCTGTTAGCTGAAACCATTTCTGGATATTCTAAGATATCAAGAACCAATCTTATATTATCAATAATATGCCTTACAGTCATAAGGCCATTTTGAGATTCCTCTATAATATCACAGGAACTTTTAATTTTTTTTTTTTGCCAAACAGCTGACTAAAATTTCATAATCTCTGTTAAGTAAAGAGATAGGATGCCAATTATCCAATATTAATGCATTTTTCTGAGGTTTTGGGATTAGAGTAATTAAACTGAGAAAGTGATGGGAGAGTCTTTCATTACTAATGCTTTCAATAAACACAGAATGTAAAAATGGAGTGAGTTCTTCTGAGAACATCTTATAAAGTTAATCTGTACCAGGGGATTTATTTGATTTAAGACTATTAATAGCTTGTTTAATTTCGTCGGGTGTGATTGGAGAGTCACATAATATTTTGTTTTGGTCACCAAGTGTTTCTGTGCCACTTAAGGAGTTAAAGAAATAATCATGTTCCTCAGGAAAATGTCTAGACTCATACAATGATTTGTAAAAAGTTTCACATATATTGCAATCATTTTGGGGTCATCAATAAATGTGCCACTTGAATTAAGTTTAGTAATACCATTTTTTGTCTTTGCTTTTCAAGTTTGAAGAAGTACCTAGAGTTTTGTTCCCCCTCTTCTAACCATTTGGCTCGTGAACGTATAAAAACTCATTTTGCCTTTTTAATATAAATTTGATCAAGTTTAAGCTGAAGGGTTTGTAACTTAGCTCTCTGTTGCTCAGACAGATTTTCAGAAAGAGTAGAGGTGTTAGGATCTGTGTTTTCTGTGTAGTTTTTCTGTGTTAGTCCAGTTTCCCCTGTGAATCTGTCTTCCCTGTTGATTGCTCCCAGCTGTATCCCGTTCCCTGATTACCTTCCCTGTGTATTTTACCCCACCTGTTGTCTTTGTCTGTTCGGATCCTCGTCGTGTATCACCCTCGTCTAAGTCTGTTTCCCTGTGGACTCTTTATCATTAAATTCATCATTTTCACCTTCATCCTGGCCTGCCTGCGTCTCATCTCACCTCACCAAAGCCTGAATCATGACAAGAGGATAATGAAATCAACTCAGAGACCAAGTAGTTTTCCTCCTTTATGCTATTTTTAATTCTACTTGCCCCAGCTTTACTTAATATTTTTCTTAACTCATATTTTAAAAGCTCCTCCTAGTAACGTTCATAATTATTTTCAGATTGTGCTAGTTTTAGGTACTCTGCAATTTTGTTTTTAATTGTTAAATATACAGATTTGTCATTAAGAAGGGAGTTATTCATCTTCCAATATGCAGGGTTCCTTTTAGTAGTTCTATCAGGGGAAATACAAACCTGTAACAAAATGCCTTTATGATCAGTAAGGTGTGCTTGAATAATCTCAGATTTGCAATTTGAATGTTGTGGAGTCAGCTATTAGCCAAAGATCCATTCTTGAGTGTTGCGAACAAGCTTTGTTTTTCCATGTAAAGTGTATTGTGTTTGGATTATTTACCCTCCAAACATCTATTAAACTTCACTTATTCATAAAGTCAACAATCTGAGAATTTATTCTTTGCCTGTTAGGCCATCGATCAACCTCATCATTCACAGTAATGTTGAAATCTCCTAAAATTATCTTAATATTAAATTTTTTAACAAGAGCATCAATACTGGGGTCCAAAGTTTCAAACAGCCTGGCATTTTCCTTAGCATTGTTATAACCATAAATGTTACCAATAAGAGAAAGAATTATCATATGCGATAACTGTGAGAATATAGTGTCCAGCTGGGTCGTCTTCAGTGAAGATGATGCCGCTATTAAATTTGTGTTTCAAAGTTAATGTACCTGCTGTACAAGTCTTCTCCCCACTGATCTTTCCAAAATTTATAGTCACTATCAAGGGAATGAGTCTCTTGAAGCAAACAAAAATCAGCACAATTTTTTGCAAACAGAAATAAAGTTTCCTTTTAATGATATCACTCAGTCCTCGAGCATTAACTGAGAAGAACTTTAACATAGTAATAAACAAACAAGATAAGTGTCTGAGTTTTAGTCAAACTTAACTGAGAACATAGAACTTTCCCTCCATATTAAGTTGAATGGGATCCAACGAAACTGTTATTCATTTTCCTTGCCATCCACAAAAGCTTGTTGTCCTACAAAATATGCGATCTTCTTATCCTTGCAGGCTTGTTGAATTTTTGGCCACAGCTGGCTCCGTTTCTCGTGGTCTTCCACAGAAAAATATTCTTTGAACAGGAGATTTATTTGCTTCAAGTAGTCAGAATTTTTTGCCATTTTCCAGATCAAGTTGTGGAAATGCTGCATAGAGAATTGGATGATTAAATCTCGGGGTTGTGGTTTGGTTGGATGTTTTCTTCCTAGCCGATAGGCTGAATCAATCACCTGTGGAAGCTTC